GCCCTTTCTCTAAATAAAATACAAAAAAATAGGATTGCAGATGTGACTCAGTGGTCAAGTGCCCCTGAGTTCAATCCCTGGTACAAAAAAAAAAGAGTCTGGTATGGCCTATTTCAAATTCTGGATAGATGTCTAAACTTGTGCTGCCTCAGCCCCATCTACCAAAGCAAAAGGACTCAAGGAGGGGTTCAAGGAGTGAGCAAGAATGACAAGAGCTCTGCTGCCAACACTGTTCTCCTTGTATGCCCCTCTCCCCCGCCCCCATATCAGCATTGCTCTTCAGGACTCACTGTTACCTCCCTCCCTTCCTCCTTCCCTGACTGTCAGAGGTGGATGCAGCCTCCTTCTCCCATAGCAGACAAAGAACAAAGGGTCAGGCAAAGACCATGCCTCTCCACAAGCATTACTGGGGCAGGAGCCTTGGAGATGCAGCCAGCAGAGGCAGCTGGGCCTGTTGTGAGCAGAGGCTCAAGTGCAACACCATATAATCCCACGGATAAAGAAGACAACATCCATGAAGTGCCTACTGGATGCCAAATCCTGTGCACACACCTTTATTCGTTGATAGTGAACACATATTTATGATATGTCTGTTGTGTGCTGGGCACTTTTCTGAGTGGTGAGGACACAGGGAAGTCCCTGTTCTGGTAGAAGTCAAATCCAAAGGAGGACAGAGACTATGGGCTATAGGCCAGAAGGAATTAAAAAGTGAGTGCCAGGCAGAAAGATACAGGATTAACCTGGAGAAGACCATTCCAGGAGGGCTGTATAAACTTTGTCCTTAGGCTAAGCAGGAGGAACTGGCCTCAGAAATAGGATATGCATGCCCCAGAGAGGAAATTTGCTGGAACATGGGCAAGAGAGGGCCTCAGACAGATTGACCCAGGACATTGACTCTCCTTCCTGGCTTTCTTCTCATCTTAAGGATGACCTTGACACAAAAATCTCAGCCCAGCAAGCAGAGGAAGAAGAGTCCCCTGAAGTTGTCCTTGTATGAGCCCAGCATGTCCTCTGAGGTGGCCCTCCATACTGCTCAGTAGCAGCTCTACATGCAGACCCCCCCCCCCGCCCCGTGGTTAAAGAAAAAAATGATTCAGTGATACTTATTAAAGAATGGTAAGAAAGACTTTATTTAGGACCGATCTGGATAGGTACAGGGACCACAGAAATGGGATTCTACATTAGGTACAGAGATTGTGGATAATTGGTAATTTTTAAACAAGAAATAGGATGAAGGTTAGTGGGTGGAAATCACTAAGAGAAAACGGGCAAGGGAGAGATTCCAGCTGAAGGTAGGCCAGGATGATCAGATACCATCTGAGGCATGGGAGAAGCTGAGGATCCTAATCAGATACAGAGGGTGAGAAGTTATGGGGGAAAGGAGGGGCTTCTTGCTGAGCTGACTTAGCAGAGTTCTTGCTAAAACTGGAATTGACAAGGAAGTGCACAGACAGGCCTAAAAGAAGGTTCAGAGGCCCGAAAAAAAAGTTTGGCCAAGCAAAGGATCTTTGTCACCATCCATGCTGAGAGAGTGAGGCAGAGAATGGGTAAGGGCATTTCTTGCCTAGGTCATGCAGTTGGGAAGGGATGGTCCAGAACCTGGAATTATGCCACTGGGAGCTGAGGTTGGGCATGCACAGAGGCTGGTGAGTCCACTGCCCCAACTTCATCTGAGACAGGTTGTGGGAGAGTTGAGGTCCATAGCCTAGTCTGGTCAGAGCCACCCCAGGCCAGTCAGTCCTAAGGGTGGGGGTGAGGCTGCTGACGCCAGGAATAGGCAAACAAAGTCATTACTAGGTAATGCCTTCATTAGGAGGTCAGGCAAGGACACTACTGGGTAATGAGTTGCCCCCCTGCTGAGCCACTTGCCCCAGGACCGTTCCCATAGAACACCTCAGTAGACAGTGCCACTGGGAGGCCAGGGCAAGGTTGGAAGACTCAGTGGCTGTTCAGTTTCAAGGTGTGTCCTTGAATTTACTTCCGTGAGAATCCCCAGACCCTGCAATAAGTCTTGAGTTAGTCACTTCTCTCCAACCTCTTCTTTAAAGTAGGGGCCACATTTCTATGGCCATATCACCCTGAATGCACCTGATCTCATCTGAACTGGGAGCCACCTACAGCTTAGGGGTCCAGGAGGTGTGGTTTCCCAGAATTGACTACCCTGGTAGCTATTGTGACCAAGCACACTCTCAACAGCCTCTCACCTTTGCTGCCCTCACCACCTCCCTGCCAACATCGACTCCTGGGCTTTGACTCCTCTTGGGAAACTGAGACTAGGCAACAGGAGCCACCAGAGGTCTGTGTGAGGCCTCTGAACCCAGAATCCTTATGGTGGCCAGGTCCCTCAGGGCAGATCAGACATTGACTGTAGATAATTCCCTGAACCTCACTCCCCAATGGGCTCCCTATTGGGTTTCCCCACCACCTTCTGGAGATAGTCCAAGGCCCTATAACCTAGAGTCCCCTTCCAGCTTACCCATCAAGACTTCACCTGGCCCACAACCTCACCATACTGACTCTCAGAGCCAGTTCAGGACCTAGGGCTTAGCCAGCTTCACCTCCCCCTACTGTTTCACTTCCTACTTCACCCACAACCATATTGGCTTAAACTTGTCAGTCAGACACTAAAAGAACACACGGAAGAGGCTCTTCTTCATGGTATCTGGAAAGATGCAGGTATGGGGCGGGGGTTGTGTGTTCCGGATACTCCCCTGAGGACTGTGTAGCTACATTCCCACCCACTGATCCTCTCCCATCTCTGGCCAACTTGGTTCCTACAATTGCCCTCTCCTGGGATGCCACCAGAACCCTCTTCAACAAGCAAACTTGGTCTGGTTCTGCCGGCTGACTGCTCTCCTGGCTTCCAGCTGCCCTCAGGCTCTGGGAAATAAATCCTTCTGTCTTGATGGCTGCCAGAGTTTAACAGCAACAGAACGCAATAGTGACGACAGTTAAGTCACACGGAGAGATTGCCCCATCCAGATCCCTGCCAGAAGCCCTGGGGCTTTTTTCCTCCCCATTACCCCTGAATTGTTAATGAGTTAATAAGTGTCAAGGTTCCAAATCACCCACTCAGCCTGTGAGGGATGACCTGCCTGAATGCACAGAGCTGGAACCTAGGCCAGTTGGGACAGCTCCAGAGCAGGCCTCTGCACCTCCATCAGGCCTTGCCCTGCGCTAGGCCCAAGTCAGTCTCTCCATGCAGTGAGCTACTAGTGCATGCCCAGCTGTGAACAAGCCCAGGAGAAAACACTAGTAGGCCTTTCTCCCTTCCCACCCCATAACCCATCCAGCTCTGCCCTTGCTTCCCATCCCATCCTTTGTGAAGGGCAACACCTGTATTCTGACCAGTCTGTCTGGACGAGAACTGTGTGCTCTTTTTTCTTTCTTTTTTAAAAATATTTTTAATGGACCTTTATTTTTTTATATGTGGTTCTGAGAATCAAACCCAGTGCCTCACACATTCAAGGCAACCCCAGCCCCTGTGTGCACTCTTGATCACATTTTTTCACCTCCAGACACCCCAGCCCTGACATCATGGATGAAGCTTGGGCCAGGGCCCTCACCACTTAATTCTTGATCTTTACTGCATTTGAGATCAGGGGCTTAGGAGTTTGTGTCTGCTTGTCTGTTCATCCCTCACCAATATCTCTTCAGCCCTCCTCAGGATCAGTTGAGATGCATGGAAGCTTTCTCACACTCTACCCTTGCTCCTTCTTGCACAACCTAGGGCTCTGGGATCCTCTGCCACAAGTTACAGGCTCCACATCAGCACCTCCAACAAACCTCAACTTGAACTCAGTGCAAAGGCTTGGCTTTATATCTCAGCCTGTCTATAAATAATCATAGACAACAAAATCAAATTAGTCACCTATCTTTGCCCAGGCCTCTCCAACTTCACACATCTATATCTGCTAGTTGGCAACCTGGAGTCTCTCCCACACACTCTGCCATCTTCCTGGCCTCCTTGCCAACCCCTCCTAGGGACAGCAGGAATCTCCTTCCTTTTCATCAGTGCAAACTTGGTTCAGAAAGAAGAGTCAGCTCCTGGATCACACAGCCTGTCTCCAGCGGGCCTGGGGAAAGAATCAGGCTCTTTTGTCAGCAACATTTTAATTATTGGGGTTGGGGTGGGGGGTATGGCTAATGAGGCTCTAGGGATCAGCAGAACCAGAAGCTGGGGCAGGGGTGACTCAGCAGGAATGGCGGGAATCTGAGGGGTTGACAGAGTGCTAAATTCTCACCTCTCCTCTGCACCTTCCAAAGATACAGGCTGCAGTGAATGAGTGAATGCATTAGCTAAAGAGGACCCAGGTGACCCTGCCCAAGTGCAGGGTCAACACCCCTCCTCCCTCCCCCTCTACATACACTCAGGCACAGAGAAGCAGAGAGGCCAGAAAGTATACTCTGGGGACATAGGTTCCAGTGGTTGTCTGTCTTCCCTCCTAGCCCAGCCTGGATTCATACCAGGTCCTCCCTCCTCACAATTTGCTAGGGGAGGCCCCAAGGCCCAGAGCACTCAGAGTCCTAACTAGCCCCTGGGGGTGCAGTGAGAAAAACATGCTGAGTGGGAACACACTGCCCTCTAGAGGGGCCCACATTCCATTGCAACAGGCCCAGGCTGAGGGGCACTTGCAAAGGCACCCAGCTAGGAAAGAATAGGTGAAAGGGCTACAGGGGCAAGAAGCCAGCAAGGATAGCCAGGAGACCTCAGAGACAGGCTGAAGAGTTGGAAAGACTGTTCAGAACAAGTGGGAGAGGCTGGCCTGGACCCTTCCCTCAGTTCTTCTTCTTCTTCTTCTTCTTCTTCTTCTTCTTCTTCTTCTTCTTCTTCTTTTTAATTTAATTTATTTTTTGGTTTTTGGCGGACACAACATCTTTGTTTGTATGTGGTGCTGAGGATTGAACCCGGGCCGCACGCATGACAGGCGAGCGCGCTACCGCTTGAGCCACATCCTCAGCCCCCCCCCCTTTTTTTTTTAAGTTATAGATGATCAGCATGTCTTTATTTTATTTGTTTATTTTTAGGTGGTGCTAAGGATCAAACTTAGTACCTCATATGTGCAAGACAAGCACTCTGCCACTGAGCTACAGCCCCGGCCCTTCCCTCAGTTCCTTATTTATTGTAAATAGGGAGAGGATCCCAACTTCATTCATTCATCCATTTGTTTCTTCATCCAACATTCAGCATGTGTAGCAACATGGAGGACCTCATCCTGGGTCAGACTCTGCCCAGGAGAAGATAATCCCTTTCTGGTTCCAGGACCCCACTATGGGACGTCAGAAAGTCATTTAAAAATAATTGTCTATGAGCTGTGTGCCATGGTGTGCACCTGTAGTCTCATCTACTCTGAAGGCTAAGGCACGAGGATTACTTGAATCCAGGAGTTGCCTGAGCAACATAGAATACACATGGCTTAAAAATAAGCAAACAAACACCAGCTGAAAAGTATGCTGTCCAGAGGTGGGGGTGGGGGTGTTGAGTTACCTGGCATGGGGTAGGCTTCCCTGCTTCCCTGCTCAAGAGGGATAAGTGGGAACTGCTAGGCAAATGGGGAACAGGGGCCTATGCACAGGCCCAAAAGGGCAAAGAAAGTTGGTTTAGAAGAGGTTAAAAAAGATATGACTAGGACACTGTATGAGATGGGCGGGGACTTCAGCAGCCTTAGTGAGGGCTGAGGCACATCTGGGAGCATGGAAGACCATGAAGAAGTTGAAAGGAGGGGTAGAAGATTGGCTGGAGATGCCCAAAACAAGGGCTATGTGTGGGTAGGGCACAGAATTCAGAGATAAGTGTGGTCTGGACTATGACGTGGAAGCAGGTAACCCTGAGCCAGTGAGGAGGGCATGGGGTCCATGAACAAAAACTCAGGTTTCCCCCAGCTGTGATGAGGGCAGTAACTTCCAATAGAATATGTGAGCTTGATTTCTGCTTCTGGTCTGGGGTTGCCTGGGCTTCTGCAGTGTCACCTCTACCCAGAAGCCAGCCCAAGCCTCATGTGGTAACCCACATCATCATAGTCCCTGCGGAAAAGTCCAGCACAATCATGCCCACTGGCACCACCTCCCCGCCACCCCGCCCCAAGGCTCCCTTGGAACCCCAGCCGTCCTGGGCCCAACTCTATGCGGGTTCCCCAGGCCCCAGGCCGTATCCCTAGAGATTTCTGTCATTCCCACAGCTGTCCCAGGAGCCCTCTCCACCGCTTGTCGCTGGGGCCCTGCGGTTGCTAGGCTGCACGCTGGGGCTCCCAGCCAGGCCTAGTGCTGGCAGTAGTGGTGGAGACAGCGTGCGGATGGCTGCAGAGTCCGGGCGTTCTTGGGCTCAGGCGCGCAACGCGTATGGCGCGAGTGAAGCGCTGAAACAAGGCGCTGGCCGCCGGCGGGACCCAGGGTCGCAGCCCAATGGGCCAGTCTCTGAAGTCGTTCGAGTCCCAGGCCGCCTGGCTCGTTTGCGCGGCCAGCTCCGAGCCCAAGCTGCGGCACGGGCCGAGGCACCGCGACTACTACGGCTGGTGGAGCGCGCTGGGGCCGGGGCTGCGGGGACCGGAGCCGGAGCCGGGGGGACTGGCGAGAGGATCGAAGCGCGCAGCAGTGGTTCAGTGTGTTCCGTGTGCGGGGAGCCGCGCGGTGGGGCCACCTACCCGGCCGGCGTCCTTGAAGTGAGCGAGCGGCGGCTGCAGGAGGGCCTGGCGGCAGTGCGGGCGGAGCTGAGTACCGGGCTGGAGGCGCTGCGCGCTGAGCTTCGGGCGGAGCTGGACGCCCTGCGAGCGCTGCTGCCGCCGCCACGGTCACCACCACCCGCCCGCCGCGAGCCCCGTGCTGTCCCGCGGGCAGGATCCCGAGCCCCAGCCCTGCTGCGGGCGCTAGGCACTGTGAACGCCTTGGTTGTGGCTTCCAGGCCGACCAACGACTTCCCCGATGGCGCTGCGGAAGACCGAATTCCTGCCCGAAAGAACCACAAGAAAACTCCCGCGCAGCCAGCGGCCCCTCAAGGTGGCGGAGATTGAGGGCGTCCGCACCTGAGGGCGGCCCAGGGAAGTGCAGGAATCGCCTCTAGCCGAAGGAGGCCAAGGTAGAGATCTGATCTCCTCTTGGAGTGTATTTCTTAGCGAGAAGAGTCCGCAAGCAACCAATAACCGCCAACGAATGCGGTTATTTGGAGGGTGGGCGGCGGAGGGTAGGGACTGCCCAGGATCATAGTCTGCAAAGGGTGGATAGCTCCGGATAATCACCGCTGCGGACAATCACCGCTGCGGACAGTCTGGACTGGAAAGGGCTGGTAGACCCCTTTGGGCCTTAAAGTAGGGGAAGGGGGCTGGGGGCGTAGCTCAGTGGTAGAGTGCTTGTTTAATATGTGCAAGGTCCTGGGATCGATCCCCAGCACATAGAAAGAATAATAATAAGAAGAAAGTGGGCGAGGGGCGGGGGATGCAGGGGAAGGATCTGGGCCAGGGTATGTCAGCCTCCAGAGGGGCAACCAGAAACCCTGGAGTCTACAACCTAACTTCCCTACCTGCAGGGGAGGAGACTGCATATTCTTTTTCTTTAAACGTCTTAGGGAGAAGGCAGAGCCTCCATGCACTGAAATAGAGTCCCCTACACACACCACTATGCAATAGACTCCAAGGACACCTGGATGGTTAAGACATTGTGACCTGGACAGTACCACTGAGAAAAATGTACTATTTATCTGTCATTTATCATTTATCTATCTATCATCTATTTCCTCCACATTCCCACATATCAACTGGACAGCATCCTGACTCTGGCTAGCCTTGCTCCACTAACAACCAGGCCCTGTCTTACTGGATAGCATCACTTGGATAATCTCATCCAGTCAGTATCGCTTGGACTCAGCTTTGCTTTGGACAGAGACACCAAGGACACTTACCCCTCACTTAGTCTAGCCACAGTTGCCTGGACACTATTGTCTCTCTAGAAAATGTCACCCTACAATCAAGACTCCATAGTCTAACTTTAGAGAGTGTCACCAGTGTGAGGCTTCATGGTGGCCAGACAACTCTTTACTAGTTTTTATGTCACCAGGATCCACCAAACCATTCCAGCTACAGCAGAACCTGGAACCAGCAATTTCTTACCTACTGGTCTTGGGAAACCTCAGCTGGGGTTATCATTTAACTGGGTACAGTGTTCTCAGGTTGATCACCCAGATTGAATTTTAATAAAATGTGTAATCTTGGCTAAAAGTGGCATTTCTAAGATGTGCTAACTTTTCATATAGGAAATGTAGACTGGGAGTGGAGACCCCTTCTCTCTGAGAGGGATCTGGGGATCAGTCTGGGGTTCTACAAGAGGATACTGAGACTGGCTGTGGTGGGGTAGGGAGAGGTCACTCAGTGATCTCCCAGTTGTATGGATAGATCCTCTGAGGCCTCAGTGGGGTTAGGGCAGGAGTCCCATGGAGGGAGGCAGCTCACCTTAGGTCTCCCCACTCCATTCACATTAGGCCAGAGTCACTGTGCATTGTTTATTGTGAGAGGGAAGTCATACTTGAATTCTAGGGGTCCTGCCAGACCACCAGGCTGAGCCCCAGGACCAGCAGAGCCCTGTGAACACCAGCCAGGATGGGGGATCCTGGTGGAGCTGCTGCTCGAATAGAGGCTTTGGGGGAGGCCAAGATGCTGCGCCCTCCAAGAGGTTGCAGAGGGCGGAAATTATCCGTGAGTGGTTCAGGGTGCAAGCCCAGCATCCCAGCCTGGGGCACAGTCTGGAACTGGGCTACCTGAGTGTTCAGGGGGAAAAAAGATGGGTTAAGATGGGGTGGGAGTAGGGCAAGCAGGGGAGGGTTGAAGCCATCGGAAGTAGGCAACCTGGCCCAGGGTAGGGGCAGTGACCCCACCTGCACACGTCCAATAGGTACAGCATTCTCGAAGACCGTCCAGAGCACAGAAGGCTCACAGCCGGGCGTAGTCAGTGACCCAGAGTAGCGATAGTATCGCAAAAGCCCCAAGGGGCTTGGCAACAGTGAGGACAATGGAAAGGTGGATGTCATATTCACTGAGACACCTGGGAAGGTGAGGGGAGGATAGATTGGAACCTCCCTCCCTGATCCCTACCCTCACCACCCCAGCAAATTCTAGCCCAGATGTGACCCCAGCAGCTCCTCACCAGGTATAGACACATTTTTCAAGCCCAACACAATAGCAGAGAAGTTGGCATTGTCCTGGTCCTGCTCCTGGGGAGGGATCCCAGTGTGAGTGGCCCTGACTGGAAGGTATACAAAGGTAGGAACTCTGAAAGTAGTGGGGAGACTCTATGGGAAGTTCCCAGTGGTAATGGGGGTCTGAGGAATCTGCTAGGGAGAGGGCCCGTGGGAGGTGACAGTCTACAAATCCACAACATCCCATTGGCCCTGTCCTTCCCCAGAATCCTTAAAATTCTACAAACTTTATAGATCTCTGAACCATTTCTTACTCCAAAGGCCCACCCTGCCGGCTCCACACCCCTTGAAACTCCCCTTTCTGGGAAAGCACATGGAGCCTCATAGTTCTTCCCTTACCGCCAACAGCACTGCCAGCACTGCGAGACCATCAGGGTGACGTCGTGCCTCCTCCATGCTCTGGTACTTTTTATTTATGTGGACAATGTGCATCTGGGGAGGCAGAGACCACAGGAAGTACCCAGCTTCCCTCTCCCTCCATGTTCCTCTGACCTCTGTGGGGCACTCCTGTCACCCTACCCCATGCCTGACCCACCTCCATGGAGTAGCGCTGTCCATCCAGGCTGTGCTCTGAGCCAGTATGCCCTGGGGCCCCCCAGTGAAAGTGCAGCTGAAGAGCTCGGTAGGCAGGTGGTGGCAGCCCAGCTCCCCAAATCTCCAGGCCATTCTGCAGACCAGTGTCCATGTGGAGTAGCACTGAGGGTGAGGGAGCATATGACACTCTTTCCAGCTAACTCACCACCACCTGCAGTAGAAATTCCTCACCAGCTCAACGGGGAGAGGGCTGCCCTCCTGAGGTAGGCACAAGGGCTCCCAGCTATGTGTGGTTATGACTACTGTCCAGGTAGAAGACCCTGGGAGGAATTGTATCTTCTAGATGTGTCCTGAATCCCTGTCCTCAGGGCCTGTGGCTGGCTGCAATTTTTCCAGAAGGTCCTGATATCTATGGGGATTATGCTGGTCAGTGTGTGTGGAATTTCCTCTGCAATGGAGATTCTTATTTTTATACAGGTGTTCCCATCCTTGTTTAGAGCTTTTTAGCCCAGTTGTAGGGGTCAATGACTTTTGTGGAAGTTTTATATGGTGGTTCAGCTCCCATGTGTGAGTCCTGATCCTCATGTATTCACTGCAAGTTCCCTTCTGCTTTGTGGGGTTCCTGACCTTTCTGTGGGAGTTCTGACTCTAGGGTGCTGACCTGTATGACCATCATTCTCCAAGGACCAAGGGCCTGGAGGTGCCAAGTTGTAGCCTTGAAAGATGAAGGGCTGAAGAGTAGAGTCCTTCTGAACCAGGTGAAGGTCGATGTTGATGGGTGACTGGGTTGGGCCTCCACAAGCAGGGGCTAACTCCTTCCAGTGAGTGGGGCCTAAGGGAACAAGGTCTAGGGTCCATAGGGTAGATCAAGGAGGTAGTCTGGGGTGGAGAGGAGGGTGGACCCCATATACCCAGAGAATAGCCCAACTTCAGGAAACTCCTTTCTGCTCCCTCCATGCACCTAGAAATGTCACAGCATCCCTTTCCCCCCATCCTGCACCTGACCTAGCCACCAAGTCTGCAGGCAAATTGCCCCACAGAGAGGGTGAATGGAATCTACTACATGGTTGCATACCCACAATGGGGACCTCCACTACATGCACACAGTTGAGCTGGCCACACTGACAGGCTCACAGACTGACTGATATGAGCAGGCCTGGGATCACAGCAGACCCAGACATATATACAGAGGAATAGTCACATGCAAGCTGTCTGGTGTCCAGTTACTTGGACACAGAACATAGGAGCCTGCAGAGAACACAGAAGCATAATATGCAGTCTGTCTCTTGATCACCCTTGCATCACTCTTGGCTCCAAGGCACAGACCAGTTCCACACAGCTCATGCAAAACTTTCCTCACCACACTTTGGGTCCTGGGAGTCGTAGCACCAGGTACCTGCAGATAGTAAGCAGGGGATTGAGCTGAGAGACCTCTACAAACCCCCATCCCAACTGGGCACAGGAATGGAGAATGGGACTTGGGCCAGGAGAAACCTCCCAAGCTCCCTCACCTCAAACTACTGGCAGTACCAAAAAGGAAGTGGAGAGTGGCGGGATTGGACAGATAGGGACACTAGATGGGCAGAGTCCTGGCGCTCACCCTCTGAATATGCCGGCACCATCTGCTGCACCGCGAGGAAGAGGAGCACACAGCCCAGCGCCTGCATGGTGGGGAGGCGATTGCAGCTCGAAAAAACTAAGTGGAAGAGAACCTTGGAGCAAGGCTTCAGGTGAGGCTGCTATATATTCATTAGTGGGATAGGCTAGGGGCGTGGCTAAATCCTGTAGGCTAGTGGGGACAGGGCAGCAACGGAGAAGGTCGGAGGGGGCGGAGCCCAGTCAAGGCCACCAAGAAGGCAGGGCTCCAAAATCACCAGGCACACGCCTTGATCCCAGGGCTTCAGCAGCATGCCAGCATAATGGCTGACATTAATAGCGCAGGGAGATTATGTGCCCTATTATTCCCATAAACAAGATGAAACGGGACGCTGGGGACTAGAAGTGACAAGTCAAAGCCATCAGCAAGGAAGTTAGTTGTTCAAAGGATGAGGACATCTTGGATCCCAGCGCCAGTGACTTGGGAGGCCAGGATGGGAGAGGGACCTGAGAGGACGTTTCTTGCTTTACAGCAGGCCTGGGACCTCCAACCCACCCCCAAATCACAGCCTCTTCCCTACCTATGCCCCTCTTTCCAAGGACTACCCTACCAGAGTGTATCAGGGAAGCTTCAGCCCGGCCCCTTGCCCTCAAGATTTGGCAGCAGCTCCACAGATTACAGTTCACTCTCCTGGAAAATGATTCGTCTGCTTCTGGTGCGGTTCCGAATACTTGTGTGAGTGAAACTGGGCTAGCGCATTAAGCGCACATGAGATGGGGTGGAGGGACACCCTCTGTACCTGGCGCCTCCTTCCAATCGCCAGTGGGTCAGGCGCTTGCAGCAGCGGAGTGGGGAAGGGGGCACTGTCCGTGGTGCTGAGACAGGGCCATTTAGCCTTCCTACTTCTCCAGCTCTAGCAGATGTGTTCAGGAATGAGAAATGAAGAAATGGAGATACCACCTCTATCAAGAGACTTACCAGTTCCTTCTTGACCCTCAATACCAGCGTGCTAGGTCTGCAGTGCCCCCATCGGGGGGCACCTGCTGACACCTCCTGGGCCCAGAAGGAGTCTAGATTATAAGGGTGAGCTTGGATGAACCCAGGGTTCTCACCCTGAGTCTTGTTTTCAAAGGATACTTGGAGAACATAAGTTAAAGTTCTTAGTACCAGACCCTGCCCCTGGTTCTCACAAATAACAGCTCTCCCAAACTTTTCTGCAAGTGTTCCAAAGCCCCAACTCTGCTAAGCTCCACATCTTCCTGCTGCCCGCCCCCGCCCCCCAGCTCTTCTGAGTCATCTTCTTGCCAGCTGAGTGAGCCCCAGCAGGGCACCTAGTCCAAGTCTCACCGGGCCCTGCCCCAGTTCCTAGAAGCAGACCTCCAGTACTCACTGGAAAAGTAAGCAGTTTGTCTAACCCATTTTACTCCAGAAGAGTTCCAGAGGGCCCCAGCCCCTTCCCCATCCCACATGCACTTAAGAGTTAGGGGTAAGTTCCTCTCTGGAGATGTCGTCAGATCACTGTCCTGAGACCTAGACATGTACTAGCTGGGGCTTCAAAACAGGTCTGAAGAGGCACCAGAGGCCAGGGGTGCTTCAGAAAGTTAGATGGCTTGGGCTGCAGGGAGAAACTGCATATAGGCACCTGAATGGCTAATAGAGCTTAGAGTTGGGGTAGGGGATCAAGTTTCAAGCTGTCCCATGCCTGGCCCATCTGATACTGTTTCCCAATAGTCAGGATAGCCTGCTTGGTCAAGTAGGATGCAAAGCAGCCTTGTCATTCCCCTAGCAAAGCCCAGGACAGCAGGGTTTGGGTGTCACGAGGGAGGAAGCCAAGCACAGGGCTGGCCCCTCTTGTTGCACACTCTGCCTGGAGGCTCCAAATTCAGATCCATCTGGTCCTCAGCCAAGAGGTGTCAGGGAGTCTGCTGAATAGCAGGTGCCCTAGTCACTCTCACCTTGGCCTGTGGCAGCTCTGGGAGTTTTATCACATTATAAACGAACCACACCTCTTCCAGAACACAAGTTTATTTGGCATTTGGATGAAATGGTTCTCACAGCATTTTAAGAAAAGTATTAGTGTCAACTGGACCAAAAATACACCTGAACTAAAACCCTTAGTGAAAGGAAAATGTAAAAACAAGCATTGAGACAATGTACAGTATCAAATTCCACCTCTACAAGGCAGGTCAGGGGGCCCCAATCAGAAACAGTGGCAAGGCAGTCCTGGGGGAGGGGGACCCTCCCAGGAGCTTGGTCGGTCCCTCCAGGGCCCTATTATGGAGTGGGTGGGGAGCATCTCACACAAGAACACAAGTCTCAGCAAGGCTGGCCTTAGGATTCTTTATCAATCAGCCTATGGAGTACAACCAGATCTTGCAAAGGATGGCACACAGGATGATAGATGGCAGGTGGGAACATAAGGGCAGATCCCAGCTCTCCTTGCTCCATTCACAACTGTCCCCAGCACAACACCTGGAGCTGCAATAGTGTCTCAGCAGTCCTGCAAAACAGGCCTTCTGACCAGCTTCAGGACATCAGTGGGCTCTGTACCCCAAGGGCCAGCCTGATGCTTCCCAGGGGAAAGGAGCCACTGGGCAATACTGGAAGAGCACCCATAACAGACCCCTGGCTAGATCCAAAGCAACCCATCCTCTTCCTCAATGCCTCCTCTAGGTGCCTGACTGGCCCCAATAGTCCTTTGGTCCCCAGAGGAAGCTTCCCAGGTCCACACATCTCATGCCAGCTGCCCTTTACACATGGTTCTGAAGTCTCGCTGAACTGCTGGTGCCATCCCTATGTGTGGGCTCTGCTGGGGTGTTCCTCAGGATCCTTTTGGGTCTCCGGGCAACAAGACTCTTGATGGCTGCTTTAGAGTCTGACTGCCCAGCTCAATGAACATATTGGAGACACAACATGTGTCCTGCTTTGTTCTCAACAGTGGGTGTGGGGTCCTTGTGGCTATGATTCCAAGGAAGCCCTCTGATAAGAGAAGCACAGCCTCTATATCTGGCTCCTGTGGGCCAAGCCCAGGAACAGCTTGTTTAATGACAAAATTTATACCTCCAGTCAGCTCTGGTCAGGTCTAGGCAACTTGTAATTCTTCTGTACAGAAAGAAAACAAGTTTCCAATCAGTAAGAGAATGTGTCTAAAACTGAACTATGCACAAAGGCCAGTCACCACAAAGTACCACTGAACCATATGCCTTAGTCACTTCTTCCCATTGATTTTCCTCAGTGGCACAAGGTGCCCAGATCCATGATCCATGGGCAAGGGCAAAGGCTTAGACATGGCTCTGTCTGGAAACCTAAGATGAAATGGCCAACTTGGGAGAGTAGAACCCCAACTGACCCCAAGTTCCTGTGAACCATCACTTGCAAACATCTGGCCACATACAGACACACAAGGACACACACACAAAAGAAAAGATCCAGACATTCAACGTAGAAAAGATATGAATGTGCTAAAAAATCGCACAGAACCCGCTTAATCTCCAAACTCAGAAATGCTAAAGGCCTGTGTCATGAGACAAGAAAACTGCCCTGAACAGGCAACAGGGTCCCATGGACAAAAGACCCCCAGCACCCAGTACTGCTGAGGGGTGGGAAGGTGTGCATGCAGCCACCACGCACTGAACTCCACTGGTGGCAATGGTGCAAGAAGTGGACTTGCAGAAGACGGACACAGCCCAGGATGTTCCTTTGGCCACCCCTTCCCCAAAGAAACAATCCTTTATGGCACAAACAAGGTGAGGTGGAAGCATACCAGGCCCAGAGGCCATTCAACAAAAGGTAGGGCCCAGAGCAGATAGAAGCCCACTTAGCGCCTAACCCTCAGTGTAGATCCAGCGCCTCCACCTGGGGGAGCCATGCACAGCAATGCACTGGAGATGGGAGGGGTGAACTTGGGCCTCCTGGCACAGAGTTGGGTTTCACAGAACCCAAGTGGAAAGTGGGCAGTAAGTTCAATTTCCTTCTAGGCCCCCTTCTTGGGGCTTCAGGTATCTTGACGTTCACAACTATACTGGGAAGGGTTATCACCAGAGTAGCCAGGATAGCAGACCCAAAGGCTGTCTCCTTGGAAAACCCCTGCTTTAACAATGAGTGTCCACAAAAACCCCCTTCCGCCTCCTGGGCATAAATGGCAGCCCCGTGCTCCACCTGCCCTGGGTGGGACTCAGCGAATGGTTGGTGACTGGCCAGCAGACTTCACTGGGTGGCACATTATAGTGAGCAAGCCCAAGATGTGTTTCATTTGAGCATAGCTCAGTACCTTTTGTTCCCTACCTCCAAAACGCACGGTTTGAACATTTTGTCCTTCTCCCATTTAAAAAGGGATAGTGACCAAAAGCTATGCCATGTTTGTGAAGCCCTCAAGGAAACAGCACAGATGCGTGCTCCTCTTGGAGGGAGGCTGGCCGCATTCTATGTACACACACGGCTGCCAGTGGGTATGCAGCAGTGGAACAGGGTCCAGGCTGTGGCAGGGCCCCTGCAAGTCTCCCACAGGAACCAATGTCTTCTTGACAGCCAACAGGTGCTCTAGCCCATTGGAACTGTAAGCTAAGCCATCTACACCATGGTATTGAGGGAGCCACGATTATGGCAGCCACTCACTGGTGGCACCTCTGCAGTTGGGTTGTTCCCACTCTGGGGAGGTTCTGGGGGCACAAGCAGGGTGCTGCTGCTGTCAGCAGAGTCTTCCAGGTCTGCTAGGGAGGCCCCCGCAGGGGGCAGAGGCTGCTCCAAGTGCCGAGGCAATGCACCTTCAGTGTCTCCATCCCCTGGGTTCAGTGGGCCAGCCTCCACAGGCTCAAAGGCATCATCGTCTGTAGGAAAGAGAGGAAAGTGAGAGCCTGGTAAGGGGGACAGAACAAGGCTGAGCAGACCAGAGACAATCCTGCCTGAACATTCCCACCTGAACATTCCTACCATTACTGGATGGTGAGCAGGCCTTGGTGGCCCCACTGGACCTCAGATTCTGGAGAAGAATCCTCCCCGCATTGGCCCTATAACATACTTTGTGGCCAGCTGCCTCTGTGGCTAGCATCTGTTATGTGCAAGATTGAGGTC